GCGAAGTAGGGCAATTAGGTCCAAATGAACATAGTTAAATCGGTAACATAAAAGATTTGTCTTGTGTACGTGCCTATGCACGTCTACAATGCGAAAGCGAATGACTGTGTGTATGTGCATGTGTGTTTTGTATATGAAAATGCAAACACGTGTGGCACCATTGGGACGACAAGCTCTTGGGTACTTTCTGTCGGACTTGAGACACGGAGGATATATGATTGAGCAAACGATGGTCTTAAAAACCAAGTGCTCTGAACGAGAAATCGGCGATTGGTGTATCCTGCAGAAATAATTTATAGCTGGGTATTTTACCAAAGGAAATGTAATTTACGCTTTAAGCGAACACCACTTTACTCCGCAACTTTCCTAGCCCTGAAGACTTAAAAACCGTTGTTTGTAAGTGCTGATTGTATTGTACCAGATGCCAACAAACTGATTCTGGCAAAACGCAAAAGTGGTTGTGGTCCGATTTTCCACATGCCTTTTACCAATGCATTACCGCTATTTTAAATGCTCCACCCTGTTTATGGCGCCCTCGAGTAGGAGTTTCATTCCAGTGGGCTGCTCTTTACAACCCATTCGGTTAATTTTTTACTAACTACCCCATTTGTTTTCAAAAAAACAGGGCCGCTTTGTCCTTTCAAAACTATTGGCTGTTCCATTTTAAAAAGTGGCACAAATCTCTTAGATGGCCCTCACACATGAGGACACCATTTGCTGAAACAAACCCCCTAACGGAAGAAGAAAGGGGTTTGATTTGTGGGAAACAACTTCTTTTCTCAACTGTGTTTTAAACCCGGTCCCTCGTTCCCTTTACTAGTAATTGGCATACATCATTTTGTGCCACATTCCTTCATCTGCGCACAAACGCAGAATACGAAATCCAAAACGAAATTAACTGATGTTCTGGTTGTAAAACTGGAGCGCTTTCACGTGCATGCCTGTGCCCACACTTGTCAACCCGAACAACGAAGATATATTAAGACAAAGAAGAAGGAGGGACAGCCCCTCTGTGGAGAGGAATGGTTGAGTGATTCACTGACAACTGCAGAAAAAAGTGACTTTACGGAGTTCCTTCACGAATACTTCCATCAGAGTATCACAGCGCAATCACATAGCATCTATTTTGCTTTTCAAAATAACAAAATAATGATATGTTTCAATAACCGCCACCTTTACTGGATGCGTACAGATTAACCAAAGAAGCAGCAGTATTCAACCGTAAATGTCATTTAAAGGAGTGTTCAAGTGAGGACATTGCTCAGGGTAACAAAGTAGCTTTGTACAAAGTGATAGTGCTAGCTTAGTGTGACCAAATTCCATGCAAGGTTGGTATAAATATAACTCTTGTTAAGCAAATCTGCGAGACAAGGGAATAGCACTCTGATGGCTTATGGTTTTGAATAATCTGGTGTGTCCTTCACTTCGACACATCAAAAGGCCATCCAAATCACAGAGATGGTTGAGACAATTACAGCAGAGCAAGGAGGAAACAGGGAGAAAGCTAAGATTGAGGTGCATGAAATTAGAGGAATACCATGGGGAGGTGGGTGGGCAATTGATGAAATTCAATCTCACAGTTTTCTCGTCCACAGGGCTTTGTGTTTAGTGTAGCACCCACACACAGCTGGTAGCTGCGCATTAAGTCACACAGTGCTGCGACGAAATGATAATGTGGGATGATGGTTGATAAATAGCTCCCATGTGATGGTTCTAAAATGTAGGGAATCTTTGCTCCGGGTTAAAATGGCTAAGGAAACGAAGTGATGAGAGAACATGAAAGAGTGATGAGTTTTTAAATAAAGTCACCTAGACAATCCATGAAGTGGATGAAAATTAAAACTTCAAGGGAGTGTATGTGGAATAGAAATTTTGCATGTTGATGGGACACAATTTATTAACAACCATTTAGACTGGGAAATTATTCATCTCGGATTTAATCTAACGGAGAGCCGATATGTGCATTGAATTCATTTTTCACGAAATGCAAATCTCTAACTAGAAGTTTTGGAGCAAGTATTTGTAAGGAAGTATTGAAAATGTGATTGCCTTTTAAATGTCCTGTGTACTCCCGCCAGCATTTTTGCTGTGGGGGGAGGTTAAAAGATGACTGTTAGCGTTAACATTTCACTAATGTTGTCTCATTGCCCCTTAATCGTCTTCATTTTTCACCTTGTCAGAAATCAACCTGAATGGCAGTTGGACATTCGGCATACACATAAAACGCACCGCTGGGTCTTAAACCAAAGTTGATAAATTGTGGCATCTTAATTGGAACAGCAAGTCCAATCCTTTTCTGCAGTATTTCTCTGTGTTTATCGAAACGTCCTCTACAATCAATTCTGGCATGCATAGCAAAGTTAGACTTAAGCAACACTAATTGCCAAATTCGTTCAAATTATGCTGCCTATTTCCTAAAATAAGTATATGGACAGGTAATTCTAACTTCTTGCAGTCAAATACGTAGTTTTGAGTGCTAAATCGGGAAGAATTGATTACTGATTCGTTAAAGTCTTCTGCCAATATCAGCAGTGGTCACTTGATACAATCCAAGGTAGCACAATGCACAGAAACAAGGCGTATGTCATCATAACTAAAGCAACAACTGTTCGGAATCTTGCGATTTCCGTATGAAATGATCACGGTCACACTTGCATAAAGAGCGTGTGTGTATAAAAATTGAGCGTTCGCATGAAGACAGTTGGCGGTGAGAATCAAAGGCTTCCATTTCCACTAACGCTTTTTTTTAATTCGTTCCTGAAACCGCTTCCCATTTTATGCAATCGTACACTCTCCCTCCTCCCTTCCTTCGTTTGATCAAGAGACAGAGGAGAAAAAAGGCCAGCGACTTCTTTGTAGACACGCCTCCCCAAAAAGTTGCCATTGTACGTAACGAACAGAGACCCACGGGCCTGAGCGTGGACGTGTAGGAAAAAAGTTGAGAGAGACGATGGTCGAAAGACCGAGGGAGAAAGAAGGGGGAACACAGCTTTAAAAATTTCCGTCTCCAGTAGCGTGAATAAACCTTGAGATAGCTTAAATGTTCCACGCGGCTTTAACAACAAGACGGCTAACCGCTGGCGGAGCGCATGTAAGATCTTTTTTGCTCGATGTCATCACCCTCTCACTCTTCGTGTCGTAGCTCCTTTTAACTGTAGTGAAGGCGGAGGTATGCACGCACTGTTGTTCTAGTGAAAAATCTTTTTTGACTGGTTAACGAAAGGGGCTACAAAAGAAACTGAGAAAGCAAGTTAATTTAAAGCGTGTGTACATTTTCTTAAGAAAAAGCGTTTTACGTTGAGTCTCAAACAAAACAGACGCGTGTATATCTAAGCAGAATTGAGCAAGAAGCATAGTTTTCATAATACTTCCACTTTCTTTACTTTTTTAACATTATTTGTTATGCACATTTTCCCATTAGGCATCTTATGCAGGGCTGCTGGCTTAAGATTTACCTCGGTTTTCTGCATCATTTTGTACAATCAGGTGTTCGGACTGAAAGCACCGAAGGCGGCATTCGGTGCAACAAACCAAAATCGAAATCACACATATCTGTTAATAGTGGGTTCTTTGATTTATATCTAAGGAAATTGTCAACGTTTCAAGCATGATATAAATAAAAAGTTGAGATAGTTCTGCCAACAAGTGTGCTTAACGAAATCCGCAAAATAAACCACATTTAAGTTACTATTTTTTGGCCAAGAATTCAGTTAGAATCCCGTAAAATCTACTATATAGCCGGAAATCTTCTCTACTCACTGTAATGATAAAATTCTAGAAGAATCGAATACCTTGTTTATCTTAGGACAAAATTTATTATGGCTGTACAATTATGCAGCATCCCCAACCGATTTGTGGAGATGGTTGTCTAGACATAGAACTAGAAGCTAAACCACGTGATGCGATGCATCCCTGAAGATAGACGTGAGAAAAATTGAACTTCGTTGGGATGCAGGTAGTCCCACTTCCACGTGGTGAAAAGTGCGGCATAATGAGGTTAACCAAATTTCCACGTTAAAGTAAACCAACCCATCCCTTCAAAGGTGGAAACATTTTGAACGAGGTTCTCAAGATGTAAACTACTTGAGAAAATTGGGCATACGCTTCAGCAAAGTTATTTGGCAAACGCTTATGCTAGTGCGACTTTGTTGGAATTCCGTAGCCATCGCAAGCTATGGCTTTTAAACGTGAATTGATTCATCCAATAACACTCTGGCTAAAGTTTCTAAACATCCTTTTATTTTGCCTTAAAGTGCTCGCAAACACTGGTCATCTTACTTCACTCTTACCACGAAACTAAATAAAAATTGTAATTGTCGTTCCATGTAGGGACTTTATTCACATAAAATACATGCATGGAGTGGTGTTAATATCTAAGAAAGTAGAACAAACTGAATTTGTGTAAAGATAAACTTATTTGCTGACTAAAAATGGCATAAATCAGGGAAAAGTCTTTCCTGTACGTCGATTAATGATACCTGTGCTAGTTCTTACCGGAGAAAGCATACAGTATTGAGATGGTGAAGGAAATAAAAAGGAGATGGTAAAAACACTCGTGTACAGGGATGCATGGAAAGAAAAGCCACGAGGAAGAATCAGATGAAATGTAAGGGAGTGCGTAAAAAGCAGTGAAATATCTTAAGCGTAACCGGAGAAGGAGAAGAGCTGTCGTTGCGCCATCAACCAGGAGGAGTTACCCGTTACTATCATTTGCTAGGGATAGGGACAGAACGAATTTGCAATTGCGAATAAGCCCTCTGGCTAATCATATTACTTAATTTTGTATATTTATTAAGTAAATTTAATATTCTAGTCGTTTTTTAACAATATTTATTAATCCTTCCTAAGCGTTGTCAGTGTATCGTGCAATTTACCATTTCCCTCCCTTCTTTGGATGTCAAGCTTTTTTTAGATTCAATCAAAGCACCTTTTTGTTCGCTTAGTTTCCAAAAGTGGACTTTGCCAATTAGCACCGACTTTAAAATGGCCTTTTTTTCTCTCCGGTGCACTTTAAACGGGTTTTATTTCGAAGGTCAATAGAGCACACACACCGGCTACTCATCTCGCTGAAGCGTTTGTGAACGTTTTTATTGCCTCGGTGTGTCAGTGGCCACTTTAATAATTTATCCGTGACTACTGTCTCAGTCCCCAGCTAATAAAACTTGGAGGTAGCATTAAGTACTGGAACGAAGCCGCTAAGAGTCCTCATGATGGCTTAATCTGTGCTGTTTTATAAAGGAATCCCCATCTGGATATCCGTTTTTCCTACATGAATGCACAATGCTTCATTCAGTTACTCAAACGTCCCATCATCATTAATTGCTTGAAAAGACACCCTGAATGTGGTATTGATGCAAACAACTAGGTGATAAACAAAATAATCATAATGAACTTGAAGGTTTCTCATGATCGCTGGCTGATCTGAAATTGTAGGGCATTTCACATTTACATCTAGTGGAAGTGGTTACTTCACTTATTTCAGTAACCTCATAGTGGTGTCAGTTAGATCAATAGACGTGGAAACCGTTAACGATCTGCCCGCTTCATTCGAGATTTGAGGAACCATCAAACTGGTGGTTGGCAGTAAGCGAAAGCACGAAGACCAGACTCTCTTTGCCTTTATTTCTACGCTTTCTTGATTTCAAAGACTTATGTTAATATGGAATTGAAGACAAATGTATTTCCACTCACATCTGTGAAATGAAACGTGATTAGTGGAGGAGTTATACCCGGAGCTCTTGCTCACGCATTCATTCTCCTTGAAACTGAATTGGACCCGCCAATTCTTTCTTTTGACAGGACAAAAAGTCCAGCACGCCCACCCCCCCTACCACTGTCCATTTCTGCATCGCATTAATAGCGTTGCGAAGGCACTTTTTATCATGAGGGAGGAAGACAGCGGGAAAGGGAGGAACACTAAAAGGATGGGTTTAAGAAGTGAGCAGTTTTTCTCTCGTGTACACCCTTTCTCTCCCTCCCACATGAGCGACGTCTCTCAAAAGTCCGACTCAGACAAAGATTTCTGCTTCTATTTTCTAGTTATCAAAATGCGTGTAATTGCATAGTTGAAACATGTGCTTTTTTCCACCTCTATCAGTAATCACATTAAATCAATTCAATGCCTCAACCACTCATCTCTTCTCATTATTGAGTTGAGCCTCTACCGTCTTATCTCTGGGATCCTCACCACCATTCGTGTAAGTTTTGACATTACTTTTTAAGTCCGTCTTTTCTAGAATAACTGTTTTCTCTATCGTATGTAGCATGATCTACTACATTATTAATATCGTAATGTGTTGATTCTAGCACCTTCAATAAAGATGAGGTAAAGACAACACTTTTTTTGTATTTATCATTTACAGCAATCAGTTATCCAGTCAGCTGAGCCATCATAAGTTTATAATAACCCAATTATTTGTCAAAAGGTGTGGTCATACAAAATCAACTCCATGTTTAACATAAGCGGTTCCAACAGTTTGTTCCCTAGGGTAGGCGTAGACTGGACTAGCTGAACTCATTCTTGCTTTGTTGAAACGAAGATGCCTTCTGCAACAGCCAACGAGACATATGATTGCCATACCCCCCAAAGAGACAATGCTAGCGAAGAGGGCGACTGCCCAGCCCTTGTACTCGCAGGCAATCCACACTTGTAGAATGTCAAAGTCACTCTCCGAGCCTTCGGTGATGCGCACCTCGAGGATGCTAGGTCTCTCGAAGGTGTCCACACGGCAAGAGTTGACGCGGATTGCGTCGCACACCACGGGATCACAGACGGAGGCCTCGAAGATGGAGCGATTAATGCTCATTCCCACGACGCTCCCAGCTGCTGTGGGAGGCCCTCGCAGCACGAGGTGATGCAGACCCGAGGTCTCTATCTCCATGCTGATTGTGGGCTTCAAGGGACGCAGCTGCCACCAGGCGCAGCAGGTCTCGTGCGGTTCCTGCTGCAGACCCGCCTCCTCCCACTCGCTCCAGTTCCAATCGGGTGCGTAGATCGCCATCTTTATGTCATTTGGCGCTGACTTCACCGTCAGGCGATCCCCGATGGACAGACGCAAAGGAATGACTGTTGGTGGCTGCTGCGATACCTGCAGTCAAGTAAGTTATTCAATTTGAAAATTTTCCTAATGACTATTTTATGCATAAAATATTTGAGTGCTTTTTGATAAAATGTGGATTTCAGCCGCAGCCTTAGGAATTCATCAAGCTATTCACGTGACCTCTCTATTAATAATACCTGCATCCGAGACCGGTGCTTTTCTAAGCACACAAAAATGAGTTTGTAAAACAAATAAAGTAGCTCGTTAAAAATATTTATATAAGATTTATCACTATTATTCCAACCGTAGTTATAAAGAGGTTATTTTGGGTGTAGTCCTATTTTGAAGGCAAATATTTGAAGTTGGGTTAAACGTAGGTCAATAGATTTGTTAAAGTAGAAGGGATCCAGTAAGTGACACCTAAATATTCGCTACTTTACGATTGCAGTTCGAAATCCATTCCTTCAGCGAATAAACTGAAATTTCTCAGATCCCTCCAGCTAATGTATGATCACGACGTTTTAGAATAGTCTAACAATCCAATTTCCAGAACCCATCGTTCGAATTAAAATACAATGGCCTGAAATTGACATTACCAAGCCGAAATCAAAAAAGCCCGATAACTTCCCTAATTCACGCAAAATCACCTATTCAAGCACCCATTTGGACCAAACTTACTAATTAGCCACCCAAGTGCTACCACGCGTAAGCGTAAGCTGTCGCAAACGAACGAAAAATCCGAGGATTTATCTGTCGCCTACCTTTATGCGTCTTAAATTGTGAGGGTCTTAAGGTATATTCTGCCAACTTAGAAGAACATAAAATGTTTTTGTCCTTTCTATGGTTAAAAAGGGTGGCAAAAATTCACAAAGGGAGACTATCGCTTCAAATTCCACTTGCAAATTTTTAGAAGATTAATCAAGCGATACATGTATGTTTTAGTGGTGTTCCTTAATGCTACGAAGTTCCCTTTTAGCACCTGAATAGGCTTTCGGGAAATAGTAAGGACTAATTTACTTCGTGCCTTTTTCCCAAACCAGCGTCAAGGGCAATTTGTTATTTTCTTTAAAGTTAACATATTTTAAGTTCAACCTGGTACTATAACTAAAGGTTTTTTTAAATAGAGACCTTTGATTAACTAAGTCATTTTTTATTTCACGCCTAAAATTCCCCTCGCATTCGCCCTCTGATGTCGCGTGCGCGAGGAGCGACGACGAGGACGACATGGTCTCAAATGACGCTCGCTCGCACGTGCGTCGGTGTGTGTTTGTTCCGACGACGGGTGGGAGCGCTCCGCTGCTGCTGCTTCTTTCGCTGCGTTTGAGTTGAGCTTTTTTCGGCTACCGCGTGAGTCCTTGTCTCGGCTTTGATGAAAGTGGCCCGCCTCCGGTAGCACAGACGCACAAACGCACTCTCAACTTTTTTGCATGCA